AGGGCGGTCGCCAGGTTTTCTGAGGCAATTTAAAAAAAGAGTTGCTCGGCATCGACGCTCGTGATGCGATTAAACTCAGCAAAAATCTGAAATAAAAATAGATGATCTTTAGTGAGCCAATAAATCGTAAACTACCCTGTAGAAAAGCAGGAGATAAAAAAAAAAAGATTCCCAATTTATTATGAGAAACAGAATCGTAATTGCAAAGATGTCAGTGGGATAATAAAAGACTCGTGGTGCTTGCTTTTGCCATGGAGGAAGTGCCAGTTAATAAGACTATGATGTTGTTATCAGTTTTCTTAAAGTAATTCGTTCCAAGCACATCTCATTATGCTTGTGATCACATTTAGTTTTGCCCGTGCTTTGAGAAATGCTGTTAATACTTAATTTAAAATAAACAAAGGAATAAAAACAAGTATGAAGTACCCCAATTTTCCACATAAGCCAACTAATTCAGAATGTGCAGTGTTTTTGGTTGGCCAGTTACGATCAGATACATCTCAGCTGCACCAAATCTCGCTCAGCAGGAGGAACCTACCAAAATATAAAGCTATTTGCTCGGTTTTCTAGCCCTCCACAAATATAACTAAAACGCAAGTATTTTCTTATAATGCTGCTATAAAAAAGGCAAGCAAGAAGTGGCCTATGAGGAGAATTTTTTTCAAAGGCATGTTGAACTTGAATAATTCCCACTGAATTGAGCAACAGGGCAAGGACAGTGTGCTTGCTCTCTTGAAAACTTCCAACAGGTTGGCAGGGCAGTGCCATTTTAAACCTTGTTATCACATTGGGTATGCTCTCAGATCCAGCCAGCTGTCGATCATAAAACTGGTGACCATGCTTTCTGCACATAGTCATGTGCACGAGGGCAGGGTCAGGTAATGAAATACTTGTCCAGAGAGCCCGTAGTTTCTGCCAACCCGTAAGCTGAGCCCTTGGAAGGAAATTAATAGCAAAAGACGAACGGCTTCATTTACTGCAAATGTGCTGAAAAAGAAAAGTGTAATACAACAAAGGGTAAAGTGCACCTTTTTTTATATCTTCTGCATCATGAAGCCTTACAATAATCTCGCAGAACAGGGCCGGTCTTGGTTTTCCCTCAGTCACCATGAGAACAGTTGGCAGGTTTTCTGAGGCAACATTCATAAATCGCTCCTTTGCCTTGGCGCCACTACTAATACAAAAAGACACTGCAAAGATCTGCAAGAAACATTATTTTCACATTTTCAGTCAACTTGAAGATATTTGTAAACAGCTCTTTTTAAAAAAGAAAAAGCGAAAAAAATCATCACTTATCAGTTGTAACAAAATCGTAATTGATGTAAGTGGGATAAAAAAGGAGACCCATCATGGTGCCAGACTTCACCATGACAGGACTAACGGCGCATTTATGCCAAGACTGGAGCCGCAACTGCAAAGCAGATCTGTGCGTTGAGGAACATTTTCCCCAACCGCGTCACCGAGATCTCCCTGCAGGAGCTTCCATTCGCTAGCAGCGCGAGTGCACCATAATGGGGGTGGTAGTGGTCTTATCAGGGAACTTACTGCTCCTAAAAGCATGAGCAACATCGTTAGTAAGCAACATATTACCTGGTCTTTAGGGCTTTAGGGCTGGATAGTCGTCTACGGTGTTGAAGATTGTAGGGTGTATGCTGATGTACCCTCCTTGCCCAAAAAGTCTTCTCCATGGCATCTTTCACCATCTCCATATACGTAGTAGCTCCCTTCCTTTCTCTTCTCATTGCGTCCATGTGGCCGGCCATGAAATTTCAATCTTCAGTCGTGGGCGAGGATGCTTGCAGCTTCTGAAAATTAGAAGGAACGAAGTAAACCAACCTTGAACATAGTAAAAACACTCAGAGATTTCGAAAAAGAAAGGACAGGCAGGCATAGTCTTAATTAACTAGCACCAGCTTGTTTTCGCCGTAAACCTCATAAATAAACCCTTTTCCATATGTCTGTTCTCCACCAGTGGTCGAATTTTTTTTTTTGCTACATCAAAAGTATTTCTTTAATAACATTCAAGAGACAAAGCCTACAAGTGCGAAATCAATAGTTTAATGAGCTCAATAATCAAAGATTACTCAGTTAGTTCAATGCCTCCTAGATCGCAAGGCTTTAGTGTTGCTGGATTCTACCCCCTCTCATAGGTCATCGCAAGGCTGACTGGAAAAAGTGCTGCATTTGCATTCAGCTGGAACACGTATTCTCACCAACTGAACACGAGTTCTAGGCCAATGCTAACATAGCACTGTCCACTATATACCCTGCACTGAAATATGATAACCGAGAAAGAAAATTAAGGGCTAAGGTATTGGTATTTAGGAGGTGCTAGGCCAACTCAAAATTAAAGTGTCCTTTAAATGAAGCTATAGCAACATTTTGTGTCGTGATAACTGTTCATGGCATGTGCAAATTTATTTTTACGTGACTTGTTTTTATTTTTGATTGTAGCTACTTCTGTTCCAAAATGACGATGCTATGTGGTAATACCCTATTATTTATGTAAGATACTGTCATAAAGCATAGTGTCTGTCATAACCAGAATTTATTAATGCGAAATCGAATGACAGTCAAGACGAGAAAATTGCACCCTAAAGGACCCCTGAAAAAAAAAATTTTAAACAGTTTATAAGGGACACAAGTGCCAAAAAAAAAAATTTTGCGCAAAAACATTTTTTAGCAATATTGACGGCGCGAGATTAATTTTCTATTAATTTCATGACGTCACAGAATAATAATACGCAATTTTCCCGTCAATAAGATTGGCATACCATTTCTCCCATCTGAACGCGATAGCCAAGGCAATCCACCTCTCCCCCCGCACTCGAAAGAAAACAAGTGGAAAGGACGTGATTACCGACTAAATCGCGTCTCGACCTACTAATTTAACAGTGACCCATGACCTGTCGATTTTTTTTTGTTTGTTGCATATTTAATATTGTTCACTTGTTACTATATTAATATCTTTATTTTATGTATGTGCCTCTCCCCCTCTGTAATGCCTTCGGGCGCTGCATGTATTTTCAATAAATAAATAAAAGAATAAATGAATAAATAAATATTACTCTAAATTATTTTTTTGTTGTTTATTCGCGTAAAATTTATTTTTCGACACGCGTGTCCTAACCAGACTGTTTGAAAATGCTCAGAGTCCAAAGCAATGAAAATGCTCAGAGCGCAAAGGAAACACAGCTATCAATAACAAGCATAAAAAAAAAAAAGAAAACTTTTGAACGAAGATCACAAGACCAGCTTTGAAGAATACAACACACATTTAGAAGCCACGAGCACAAGTTACACAGGGCGAAAGCAAACTCCGAAGTGAGGATCTCAGAAGCAGAAGTATTACAAGACAAAACACCTCTACGCTGGGCTCTATAAACAATAGTATCGTTACAGCGTTCAAGTTCAATTCCAATTTGGTGATTCCCGACCATGGTTGAAACTATAAACTGTGCCGCGGAGCCGACCAGCATCGGCCGAAACATAGAGGGCCGAAAGACGCTCGGAAACCCGCAGAGAAAGTAAAAACATAAAATAATGCTTCACTAAACGCGCGCGTGCACGACTTCGCGGCACCGCTCAATTTCGTCGATACGTGCTCCTACAACGTTTCGTCGACTTTGTTTTGTTTCGTTCACCACGGGGATTGCATTATTGGTTTAATTTCGTTCGCCGCAAACCTACCTCAACTAAAGCGGACTTGCCCAGGCGACTCTGATACGCCACAAATGAATTGGCGATCGCCGCTTTCAAACCGTCCGCACTACGCGCTGAAACCCTTCGCTCCGCTCGGAGACACTTTAATATTGATCGAGAACATGTTTATTTACGCATATCGGATACGACCATACATTTCGCCTAAGAGCGTAAGCGCGAAACTTTACTCTCGAGGCGCGAACTCGCACCAGGCCTCATGCGACCCGCAACGGTTTCGTCAAGCTCGCATCGCCTTGGTCGCCGACCGAGGCGATATGTGCGGAGGGGAGGCACTCACTTGATCGAATGACGTTTTAGCGAACGCCCACGTTTCATCGAACGACACCTTAGCGAATAGTCGGACGCCGCGAAGCGGCGTTTTCGGGTGGGCCAAGTGAGTTCATATTTTTGTAATGAGTTGCCACAGACTGTCGCCGCGAAGCGGCGTAAAGCGCAGCGCGACGGATGGGTTAACGCGCGCCCCCGTTATTCGCTAAAACGACCATTCGCTCAAATGTCGCCGTTCGCTAAAATGTCATTCGCTCTTGTGATATGGACCCGTGGCATTAAAACGCTGCTGCGTCGACGAAACCATCTGCCGGTGTTACATCGTTTGTTTGATGAACTGATTGCCGCCGGGTCTAGTTTTGAAGTGCTAGGCCTCGTTTGCACGCTAACATGGACGAGTACGAGCCCGACCGCGTCAGAGAGCGAGCGCCTATCGACCTGCGACTTTATGAAGTACGTTCTGAAATGACTATAACATTTCTGCTGCTCTACAAGTAGCCAAAGCCATCAAAACTCACCGTCCAATCGGTTGCCACTCCGACTGCATCCGACGAGGCTTCCACCGCACCGCCACAGGTCAACTGGGTCAACCGTCACCTCCAGTTCAAACTCGGGCGCGCGCGCTGCAGTCGGAGAGTAGGTAGCCTCGTCTCCGGCGCCTCCGCGTCGCTCGGATTCCGTTCTCATGTTTTTCGCGGCCGGAAACATTCACCGAATATGCGCGTGTAGTCACAATTTCTAAATCCCGGGGCCAAAATCTTGTTTTGCCAAGGCTTCTTTCCAAAATAGCTACTCGAGTGATGCTTCGTCCACTTCATCGAAGGCTTGCGGCAGCCATTATTGGCGAGGGGACTAAAGTATTCGTTAGGGGATCAACTCCAGCGGGAGCAACGAAATGCCCGCGGGACGAACTGCTCGAGTTACCGCTTCTGAATAGAGGGCGCTAGGGTCGCGGGGATGAAAGATGGCGATTGGTGCCTTTGCGCACCTTTTTTTTTAAGAGTGCAGCAAGCTCCAACGGAGGACTCGGCTGTTTAGCTGCCTCGCTTTTTGGATGTAGCTCAGCGGTTGGTGGTCCGTCTGCACTAAGAAATGCACGCCGTACAGGTAGGTGGCGAACTTTTGCACCCCCCAAGCTAGTGCTAAACACTCTCTCTCGATGGTGCTGTATGCTGCTTCCCTGGGGAGCAGCCTTCTGCTAGCATATGCGACGGGGTGGAGCGTGCCGTCATGCCGCTGCATTAGTACTGCTCCAAGGCTGGTATCTGAGGCATCCGTGCGCAGCACAAACTGATTGGAGAAGTCTGGGAGTCGCAGTATTGGAGGGCTTGAGACGCGGCGTTTGAGCTCCTCGAAAGCTTCTTGATGGGCCGACGTCCACCTAACGACGTTGTTGCCGCCCTTTTTCGTGAGCTGGGTGAGCGGCTCGCTGATTTTGGCGTAGTCGGGAATGAAGGCGCGGTAATACCCAGTCAAGCCGAGAAATGCTCGTACCTGTCACTTTGTTCGCGGGGCTGGCGCCGCTTGGATCCTGTCGAGTGTTTTCCCGAGTGGTGCCAGTTCACCGCCGCCAATGCGATGCCCCAAGAACTCGATGTTTTCCCTTCCAAATTCACATTTGCCTGGTCGCACTGTTAGTCCGGCTGTCTCGATTCTTGCAAACAGCTGGCTCAGAGAAGTGAGATGCTCCTCCCACGTAGCATTGGCAACTAGGACATCATCGTAGTAGTGCTGCACTCCCGGAATTCCCTCCACAACTCGGTGCATCAGTTTCGAAAATACGGCGGGGGCTGTCTTTATGCCGAATGGCATGAAGCGGAATTGGAAGAGTCCCGACGTGGTTGAAAATGCGGTTTTGGGCTTGGACTCTTCGCTCAATGGAATTTGCCAATAGCCTTTGACGAAGTCTACTTTCGAGAAGTATTTCTTCTCTCCAGCCGCAGCGAAGACCGCGTCAGCTCGGGGCATGGGCTCCGAATCGGCAACCAACACGTCGTTCAGGCGCCGGAAATCAATGCACAGGCGGTTCGTGCCGTCCGGTTTCTTGACCAAAAGGACTGGAGCGTTGTAGGGCGACTGAGATTTCTCAATTATTCCGAGTCGCTCCATCTCCTGCACCTCTCTTTCTACGCCCTCTCTCGTCGCAAATGGAAGCGGATACTGCTTTACGTGGACCGGAGTGTCGGTAGTGAGCTCTAACCGGCACTCGGCCCAGTCCGTCTTGCCCGGGACGTCGGAGAAAATGCACGAGTGTTCTGAAATCACATCTCGGAGCTGTTTCTGCCGATCCGCCCCCAAACAATCAGAGAGCCTCACATCTCGCTCGTCCTCGGATTGCCGAAACGCTGGGACAGGAATGGCTCCATCGCTGTCCGAGTCTGTGACGCCGCAGATCGCCTGGCACACCCTTTCCACCGGTTGGCTTCCCCGCTCTTCGTATTTTTTCAGCATGTTAGCATGAAAAATCTTTCTCCCCCCTGCTGTCTCGATGATGTAGTCGGCCTCTCCCTTCTTCTCCTTGACCTCGAAAGGCCCTTTCCACTGAAGCAGTAGCTTGTTCTTATCGGTAGGCAGCAGAATCAGCACTTTGTTTCCTGGTTGGAAGAACCTTTCTTTAGTTTTCCGGTTGTACATCCTAGCGTAGCGTGCTCCGGCCTTCGCGAGCTCCTCGTGCGCTAGCTTGCATGTCTCTTCCAGCCGATTTCGGAGGTCAAAAACGTGGTGATAGGTTGTCTTCTCCTCCTCGTCGAGGTGGTGGTTCGTCCACAGCTCCTTCAGAATGGCCAGGGGTCCCCTCACATGTCGCCCATACAACAGCTCAAAGGGCGAGAAGCCCAAACTTGCCTGGGGGACCTCCCTGTACGCGAAGAGCAACGGCGCCAGGTAGCGGTCCCAGTCTCTCGGTTTTTCGGCGCACATTCTCTTTAACATCAATTTCAGGGTGCCATTGAATTTCTCGACCATCCCATTTGCCATAGAGTGGTACGGCGTTGTATGCAGCTGGCGTATGGAGAGAAGTCGGGCAACCTCCTTCATCAAATCGGAAGTAAAATTGGTGCCCCGGTCGCTTAGGACTTCGTTCGGGACGCCAAATCGAGAGAACATTTCTACTAGCGCCTCAGCGACCCTCTCCGTCTCAATACTCGGCAGCGCCACGGCCTCCGGGTATCGGGTCGCGTAATCCATTAGGGTCAGGATATACCGATTTCCATGCTTGGAAAGGGGCTGAATTGGACCCACGATGTCTATGGCCACTCTTTTGAATGGGGTTTCAATGAGCGGCGCCTTCCCCAGCGGCACACGGGTTACTCTGCCCTTTGGGATCGTTCTCTGGCAGATGTCACATGATGCGACAAATCTCTTCACGTCTGCGGTGATGCCCGGCCAGAAAAATTCCTCCAAAATTCGGTCCTTCGTCTTTTGCACGCCCAAATGACCAGCCATTATTCCGTCATGTGCAGTTTTCAATACCGCTTCTCGATGGCACCTAGGGACGACCAGCTGACGCACCACGTGTCCGGTTTTCTCAGTGTAGCTGCGGTACAGTAGCCTACCCTCCCGGTGGAATTCGATATTTCCTTCGGAATCCCTGCACGTCAGTATCTGGCCAATCTGAGAGAAGCACGGCCTGAGCGACTCGTCCGCTTCCTGCTCATCCGCGTAATCCCTGTTTAGCGGCTGTGCTGGGACGTCGGGGGCTTTGAGGGTTTGGAACCTTTGGGGTTGGTTCCTCATCTGCGAGCGCGTTACCACTGCTGCTACAGCTTCCTCATCAGCGGGCTCGTTGCTGATGGGTTCTTCCACTGCCGCCTTTGGGTCGTCGGGTGCCCTCGCGCCTTTTATATTTCCAAGGATTAGGTCATAGAGCGGCTCCGCCATGCAGAGCGCCGTGATGACCCCTGAATAGTACGGGGTGTCGATCTCCACCCGCGCTTCGGGCAGCATCCTGGCTGTTCCGTCGACTACATAAACGGGCCGGGTCTCTCCTGTGAGCTGATCGTCGCGGATGAGCTCTCGTCTTATAATCGCCGTATTGCACCCGGTGTCTCGCAATACCGAAATCGATTTGCCCTCATACGTTCCGGCGACCACCGGCAGTCCTTCGACTAGAAACTTCGGCTGTGTTATCATGACTGCATTCACGACGGGGATTCTTTCCCCATTCTTCAGCTCTAGGTAGCCGTCGCGAATGCCCTTCCGATTCGTCACCCCGACGGGGGAGTAAACGCACGATGCCTGAGGCCTATCGTTTGTTCCCGACCGGCACGCGTCGGCCTTGTGGCCCTTTCGCCCGCACTTGAAGCAGGTAAGGCTGTGGTTGTTAGTGGTGTGGGCCCGGCAGTGTGAAGCCTGATGCCCAACGCGGTTGCACAGATAACAACGAGGCGCTGTTCGTTGACTGCTTCTTTTCTCGTCAGTTTCGGGCCTCCCGATATCATCTCGGTTATCCTTCTTTACCTTGGCGAGGTTAAAGCTTCCCTGCGCTTCTAAAAACTGGTCGGCTAGATCCAGCATCTCTCCCAACGATTTCGCCTTCCTTTCCTTCAGATAGAGCGCCATGTTGGAATGACACCCATGTAGGAACCTTTCCTTAATCAGGAGCTCTCGGAGGTCTTTGAACTCGTGTTTCGTATCGGACAGCTCGATCCAGCGATCGAAATAGTGGCTGAGACGCGCCGAGAACTGAGCTGCGGTCTCACCATCCGCCGGTTTGCCTGAATCGAATTTGTCCCGAAAGCCGTCCGCCGTGAAACGAAACCGCTTCAAAAGGGCTGTCTTTACCTTGGAGTAATCCGCTGCATCACCCGGCGGCAACCGCCCGTAAACACTGAGTGCTTCCCCGCTCAGACATGTTGCTAGAGCTGTAGACCACTGGCTCTCTGGCCACTTCTGGCTTTCCGCAAGGCTCTCAAATCGTCTAATATACGCGTCTAGGTCATCCTTCCGGTCATCGAACGGGATGAGAAGCTTGCTTGTGTTCAGTTTCAAGCTTGGCTCCGCGTCTTTTCCCCGGCTCCCTTCCTTTTCTCTGGTCTCCTTCTCCAGCTGCTGACACTCTATTTTCAGGCGCATAAGCTGAATCTGACGCTCGTCAGCCTCCTTCGCGGCTGTGCGCTCATCCTCCGCTGTCTGCCGTGCAAACGCTCGATCCTCTCGCTGTTTATCTTCTACCCATTTTCGGAGCTCAGCGCCCGCCAGGCCAAGCTGACTACCCATCGCTAGCAACTTTTCCATTTCCATGCTTCTATCTCCGAAACACTTTCAACAACCCAAACAGGCGCTTCAAAAGGAAATCCCGTTCATGCACCGTACGCATCAAATAACGCGGCACATTTCCAGAACTCGTCTCCCTCTCCAGTCACCACGTTTCCTTCGCATCGAACGTCCTGTCGCGGACGCCAGTTAATTGTCACGAGTCCGGCGACGACGGAAGGTCATCACCGAGACATGACAATAAGGGGGTGGTCGTTCGATGCCCGGCGTAGCCGGTAAGCAAACGCAGAGAATGAGACGGAGGCGTGTTATAAGTTAACAACAACAAAACAGTGTTTATAGGCTCGAAACGAACATATAACGGGAATTTAAAGTAACAGAACGTACATTTTACAAGACAGTGATGCTACGAGCGACAAACGTGTCGAGTTAAGCACAGAGAAGTACGTTACACATCCAGTTAAGTACGCGTGTACAAAGATCAAGACGAAAGTAAGAGTCCAATTAGCGACGGTCGAAAGGAAAAGTTCAAAATTGAAGCAACATACAGTTGACCGGGGAGCACGGCGGCAGTCCATCCACAGAGACGACACACGTAGAGCGGCCCTCGAAGCGGCGGTCCTTCCGGGGCAGCGGGTGGTCGGTCTCGGAGATGCGGTGCGGCGGCTCGGGTTCCCGGGAGTACGCGGCGGCGGTTTTCCCCCCGAAGAGCGGACTGATGCTGGGGTCCAGTCGCCCTCTTTTTAACGGCGTCGGGCGCTCACGGCCGAGGCACTCGCGGACGCTTGTTCACGCACGGGGTCGGAGTCGAAGCAGCACAACACCAAAAGCACACAAAGTAGTTCATACAAAAAGGGAGGACCACGTAGACACGGCACCTTTGACACTGCATGGCCGCCATGTTGAAGTTAGAAAAAGTAAGACATAGCTAAAACAGGAGGCCCCTACGCCAACAACTTCTGTCCTGCTAAGGGTGACCTTGCAGGCGAGAAAAGTTTACCAATACACAAATGGAGCTCAAGACTTTGGGCGCAGTGAGGGTGACTTTGAGGTTGGAAAAAGTAAGAAAGACACAAAACATGAATCACGTACACCCCCGCTCGCGAACCGCGAGAGGTTGAGCTAACTAGGAAGAAACTAGCAGAAAAAAACAACAGGCACGTACACGTGCCTTTGCAGCAACCGAACCAGCGACGGAGAAACATACAGGCTACAAGGAGAAATATGTGTACGGAAACGAAAACGCGTTATGTTTACATAACGTAATAAAAATAAATTACAGGATGCCACTACTTCTGTGACAGACAGAATGTCCAACGAGTCTTATTATCCAGCTATACGGAAAATCCAAGCAGGCCTTCATGACCACCGCGCTTGAATATCCTTTAAGATGGAAGATCCAACCAGGCCCGAATGTCCAGCGTGACTGAATACCCAACGAGACGGAAGCTCCAAATGAAAGATGGGAATGTACACTGAGACTATGGCAACCGTGGAGACATAGAATATTGCTGTGCTCTGCAGTGCGACAAGCTAGAACCTAAAGTAACAGTATAGTAAAAAATAAATGTGCAATTTGTAGTTGAGTAGATATGTTTCTGAGGAGACTTTGCTTTCTTGTGAATAAACGAGCGGTGAGCAAAACCATCCCTGAAATAAAGTGGACCGGGGAGATCCTCGTACTTCTGTTACTGATAGGAAATAAATGTCACGGGTATCTTGGCCTTTCAGAAAGAACGGCTGGCTTCGGCAAAAATATACAGGGTGTCACATTTAAAACAAACTAAGCTTTAAAAAAAAATCAGAGAGGTCTACGTGGAGAAACCAACTGTGCTTTGCTCGTCAGCGTCGTCCGAAAGCGCAAATAAATAATTTGTAAAACCGAATTAATTAATTATGACTAATTGTCCAACTTTCGGCTGTTACAGTCCTTTACCAGTACTTTTGTTTTGAATTTAAACTGTTAATTGAAGCCTTCATTAGACGAGAAACCACGCAAAAGACTGCCAAATTGCTAAAGAAAATACGAGAAGGAACCTGAATTCCTTCAGGGTGCGTAGCCTGCCCCACAAAATCGAATCCAGGCCCTTTTGCTGCATTATAATGCAATTAAATGCAAAGGCGCAAGCGAGCTAGACAAAAATGACGAAAATAATCCCTGGAGAAGGGGAACAAGAGGGACAAAGGAGAAACACAAATCTCCTAACACAGCTAGCTGACTGGTGAAGACCCGCTCGCTGTGGCAAGACCAACATAAAACTACATCTCGGCAAGAAAGGAGAGGCTCCATTTAATGGAAGCGTTTGCCTCATTCACGACTATGCTGCAATCTACCAGGACGTCTGCAACTGCGTGGACAAAATTACGAATATGTGTGTGGTCTCAGGGGCCACGTAACAGTTCTTTCAGGAGTCGTTTAGGGACGCATAAAGTGAATAAATATATCATGTTTTCCGCTGACCACGCTATCCTCTTTCGAAGACGTGGAGAAAGGTGCCGCATGCCGAAAGGAGGACCTATATCACTCTACGAAGCTTCTTCTCGGCAGTGTTTTAATGCAAAAGCATTAACTGTCGCATGGAGCGAGCTGACATTATCAGCTTTAAAGCCGCGCCCAAACGGGACTTTAAATTCTTTCTCCAAGTGAAGCCAGCTCCTAGCTATGAAATCACGCGAAAAGCCTAGCCGAACGGCACCTAGTTTCCCCGCTCCCAAAGGAGCGGAGTGAAGCTGATGGATTTCGGCTTCGGTCCCATTGGCTGGCGTGCGCCAAAGAGGCTCCTATACACGTTTGCAAGTCGGGCTTCACGGCGCTGCCATCTTGCTCGCTGGGGTGCGCTTGGACGCGTCCTAATCCGATTACGAAGCCTTGCTAAGGCGTCATAATCGCATTATGGCCTCGCCCAAGCGCACCCCACTGGGCAAGATGGCGGCGCCCTGAGACCGCACTTGCAAACGTGTATACACGTTTGCAAGTCCGGTCTCAGAGCGCCGCCATCTTCCTCAGTGGGGTGCGCTCTCGGGAGAGGCCATAATCCGATTACGACGCCCTAGCAAGGCTTCGTAATCGGATTATGACTGGTCCAAGCGCACCCCAGACAGGCAAGATGGCAGCTCCCTGAAGCCGGACTTGCAAACGTGTATTGGGCGCTGCCCGTCAGTTTCAACGACCGCCACCTCTTGGCGCTGCGTGTCCGCGAGGCAACGTCTTTGCCGATGCTCCACCGTTTTACGCCCAAGGTCAGCGCGTCGAGTACAGCGCGCCCGCTCGACCGTCGACGGAAGTGCGCCGCAGACGGAAGAAGGGAGCGGAACAGCGGCATGCATGCTTTCGCATTCGCAACCGATAAGAAGTGTTTAGGTGTACCTTGAGCCTTTTTGTGTAAAAAGGTGATCTGGTGAGCACCAATCACTCATCGTTGTAACAGTTTACATTTCGCTCTTGAAGCCTTTTTTTTGTCAGAAAATTCATTAATGACACGATAACCTGCATAAAACCTTTTTCTAAAATAAATATGGGATATTTATGTAGTTAAGGCTCCGTGAAGTTCTAATTTTGTTTTTTTGTTCAGCAGTTGTAGATGTTTTGCAAAGTTAGAGAAATTTAACCAGCTTGCTAGAGTCCGCCTGAGCGACCAACATTCTTTTTTGACAAATTTGAAGACCTATCAGCTCAAAACACGTAAACATTGCGAAGCGCATTGCTCAAATAAGGTAGCCAGACGAATGAGACTGTACGCCGCTCCACGTTCGATATCCACTTGGCGATCATGGCTGGCGAGACGGAATATCCATCGAGAAAGAATATCCAATTGAGAATGGATATCCAACGAGTCAGAATGTCCAACGAGACGGAAGGTCCAACCAGACTTGACTGTCCAATGTGTCTGAACATCTAATGAGCCTGACTATCCACTGTAGGTCTTTTGACTCGTTGGATATTTCTAATCGTTGGATATTCACGCTCTGAATCCAAGAGCTTGTCATCACTAGATTATAGTAAGCATAAAACTGATGTATTTAGCACTATCACCCAGGATTCCAATGACAATTTCGCACATAACATAAAATACATTTCATGACATATTGTACAGAACTTTGTCCATCGAATTTTATAAGATCTTTTTGGTGTTTCATATTTTAGGTTTCACATCATAACGGGAGATGACGACAATGTTGTTGCATTTCATGGATAGCTGTGGCTGCTGAGGGCTTCAAGGCTGCGCCAAATATAGAGCTCCTGCTTAAAAAATTATGAAAAGTTCCGGGCAAGGAGCGTATGCATCGCTGGAAAGACCACTGGAGAAGATTTTGAGCTGTATCCGGCCCACTGCATTCCGAAACTGGTAGTTTCAACATATTTTCCTCTAAATCCTAAAAACAATATTTTTAATAATGCACAAAACAGTTGAAATATAGCTCACATAGTTTTATAGTTTCACGTTCCTCTGATTGGTCTCAGAGGACTAGCAAGCTTACACTGCACACAAAAAGGGGAGGGGACTTACAGGGGACTAAATTTAATTGTATATTACTCTAACCAGCGAGGATAGCGACAGAACTAATATCACAGCCTAAATTCAGCTCACACGCAGGTTAGCTGTGTTCGCAACTGTTTATTTGCGACACAATTTTGCCCTTTGCCTGGGCTCGAGATGTGTTTATGCCAGGAACATATGCAGACCAGGTCGGAGAGTGCGTCAAAAGGAGGTGGGGGAGAAAGGGGGGAGGGAGACAGGCAGAGAGTATCTTGTTTAGCTGGCCTGCATATTTTTCTGAATCCACGCCTCGGCATTTGTCTCCCCCCCCCCCCCCTCCCATCACCAAGTTAATGTTGTGGACTATAAAACGTACCTCAACAGGAAAGCAATCATAAATATTTTAAGTGGCTTTCTGTATCCAGTTAGGGGTAGTTGAAAGGTGGTCACGAAACAAAACCATGCTTGGTAATGTGCACACATTTAAAATTAAACGCAAACAAATTTGGGCATTATTTTCTCGAGCCGACATCGCTAATGTTTGAAAGCGTCTTGTAATACACCTGTTAGGGGTTTAAAAGCGTTTGCACTAAGGTCGCCCAAGCTGGAACGTAATTGCCATTTCAGCTTGAAAATGTTTAGTTTGTTTACAGGATAGTATATTTTATCGCTGGTCACTAAACGAAATAATATTGCATTGCTGTGGCAATCAGACCTGGAACAATTTACCTTGCAGCTGCAGCAAAAGCTCAATTTCACAAAAAAGAACCAGTTGCATTTTTATTGGACAAAGAAAGACAACGGGCGACCTGTTTGAATATATAGCGAAGTATCACCCTTTGTCTCTGTGCATTCTTCAAGTGAAGGGATTCAAGGAAACTTTCAGAGAGTAACAAGCCGCAAGGTTCGATTTTTGTTTCTTGCGCATAAAACAGGCCAAGTGCAGGAATGCCAGTTTAACAATTTTCTTAATTTATTATTTCAGCAGGTTATACTTAGTGTTCCAGATTGAACAAAGTCAAGGTTTTTTAAGACATTTTTGAAGTCGGATGGATATATTTAGAAGATGCAGGTGAAAGCCCCATCTTGAGCACGACAATTTAAAGTTTGATCAAGAACTACGATGACTTATTTTATTAATATTTAACAAGAAAGGGTTCTAAAGGAGAGTCCGGCCATTTGTACTCAATAGAGAAGTTTGCAGTCAGCATCAGAAAGTCAGCCCATGCTTTGCTAAAAGGTTTCCTCTTTAGGGCCTGTGATAAGGCCTTAAGAGGGAGCGCTCCTCGATTTTCATCTCCGATAGGAACTTTTCAAGAATCCAGATGGCGCGCGCGTCGAAGGCGTGAAAAGGCGCTCTCCCTCCGAGGCGAATGAGTGCGTAACGTATCTGGGTCTAGCAGCGAAATGAGAGCTCGTGTCCCTTAAAACTCCTCGGGAAAGAACGTAAACCACATTTTGGTTCGTTACAGTTGCATTTCCTTCAGTGTAGTCGAAACGCAACCAAAACGCCGCTAGTGACAGCCTTCACAGTGCTTCCGTGCCCCGAGAAATTCGCGGACGGCGCTTCACTTCTCCTTCGGTAGGGTGACGTAAATGACACGTGATGACGTCGCATTCGATGCTCGCAGCGGATTCGTGGGTTTGTGAGGCTCGTGCCGAGTCGCCCACGGCAGCGGCGGCGGCGGGCCGCGGCCCGGCCGGCAGTCGCCCCGAGGGGCTAGAGGGGTGCGGAGTGCTGCGTGCGGTAGGTAAATGTTCGCGGGGAGTGACTTCTCCGGAGGATTCGGAGAACTCTGAACGCCGATATGTTGTCCG